ACCATACCATACCATACCATACCATACCATACCATACCATACCATACATTATTTCTCTCTTTGTTTGAAAACTAACAATTGAGCCTGGCAGCTCTCATCAGGCTAAAATTGCTTTTGCTGAATCACTGGTCAGATACCTGGCTAATAAACAGGACCAAACTCTTTCTCCTCTTCTTGTATGTTGTTGCCTTTTTTTCAAATTGTTCACTGTTAGCCTGCTGCACAAGGGAACTATCTTCATGAAGTTGCAGAGCCCATGAGCATTTTGGGATCTGTGCCAGCGACAGATCCATATATGGTGTATCTGCTGCTCTCAACAGATCAGCGATGCCATTGAACATTGCTGAGCATTGCTTGTTTCAGCCAGTGCTGTCTGGCAGAATGGCTTATGGGGGTTATAACAGCTGCAACTATAGTAAAAATTTTAGTGTCCCAAAGGTGCTTATCAAAGCGGCAGAATTGTTGAATACTCATTTGGAAGAGATTTTATGGTTGACAAAAGAAACATTTGGTAAGCATTCCATTTAGTCTCCCACATGTATTACCATTCCTAATACATTCAGTAACAGCTTTATTTAACTTCAACCAAACTTTTCAAGGCAAATACCAGGCAGAATTTGATATCATTTGGTAAAGATTTCTTTAAGTTGTATTAATTAATTTCTGGAGCAATCTAGTTGTTAGTAACCATGTTACCTTCATGTGAAACTTCATGTGATTTGAATAAACTATATTGACTGGACGATAGAGTATTATATCTATAGCAGCTATGTTGTATTAGCCAAACCAAAACAACCACATTATGCCTTTAAAAAAGTTAAAAAAGAATGGCATAATAAATAAAAAGAAAACAGTAACCAAATAACAACTGGCTAAACCAGATATAACCAAAGTGTAAGGAAAACTCAAACAAAAAAGTCCATAGAAAAAAAAAAGGTAATGTTATTAACAATACATCTGTACACTGTTGCTGAAGTTCCATCAGTGCAATAAAGTAGGGGAAGTAAAAAAGGAAAGGTTTCCCCTTTTTCATGATGTCTTGAACTTTTGCTTGTCCCCATGTTCAGTTAGGTTCCCTTTTGAACATCAATTTTAATTGAACTAGAAGGTGATCTAACCACAACAGTGGGCTAGATAGAATGCTCATTAGATTCAGATCACAACAAAACTGCCCTGAAGCAACTGCCCTGACATATGTCCACTAATGTGTTTTGAGATTATTGGGACAAACCCATGGTTGTCATGGACTATATACAACCCGTGGCTTTCCCTGATCCAGCTTCCAGGCCATGAGATTGAACTCCACTGAACACCTTCAAGTGGAGGAACTTCAATGCCTGAGCTAGACTGAGAGACTCAGATAGGGATCCAGGCAGGCAGCAGAGTTCCTGGTTTGTCAAAAGGCTAGTTGGTTATGTTTTGCACTTTCAACATAAAGAATTGGAAAGCCAGCCTATATTATATTTGGATGAATAGGATTTTTTAAAATCTAACCATAATGACTTATTAAATGAGGGTATTCCAACTTATTCCATACTATCCACTATTTTGCCAAATATTCATACTTAGGTGTGAATAAAAATAACATTCAGGTCACCTTATTTGCTGCATAGTTTTCAGTAATTCATTGAGAATCTGCTCACTGCTGCCCACTTCATGAGATGAGAAAATATAGAGGCCTGCAGGCACTGTTTGTCTGTTGCTGTACCTGTATCTGGGATACCAACTGCATTGTAACTAAAAACAAAGTTAGGACTTCCAGTAAATTAAAGGGGCAATATAATAGCTTTACAATTGTGTTCATAATGTTTTTTTTTTCAAATCCTTCCATTACAGAAAGCAATAAAGTCAAAATAAATACACAGTGGTTTACTTGAAAATGAAGAGCATTAAAACCTCAGTCTTCAAGTAAAAGCAATAATTTTGACAAGGAAAATCAAAGAGTCTGATCATTCCATAAAAACTTTCTTTTTTTAAAAAAAGGTAAATGTTTCCCCTATCCAGTCATGACTGATTCTAAGGGGCGGTGCTCATCTTTATTTCCTAGCTGAGAGCCAGTGTTGCCTGAAGATGCTTCCATGGTCATCCGGCCAGCATGACTATATGCTGAAACATATGGGATGCTGTAACCTTCCCAATGAAGCGGTACCTATTTGTCTACTCACATTTGCATGCTTTTGAATTGCTAGGTCGGGACAAGAATGAGAGCTCACCTGTCATGCAGTACTTGGGACTGAACTTCAGTCAACACGCTCAGCATCTTAACCGCTCGGCCACTGTGCCCTT